AGCCAGGTGAGCCGCAGGCGGCCAGGTGAGCTGTGGCCCTCTGCGCCTGCCGGGCAGGGCTGTCTGCTCAGCTGGCTGGGAAAGCCCACCCAAAGGGCTAGGGGAAATCGGGGAGAATTTGCACTTGAGCGCTTTGTTTATCGGGGTGGGTGCCCTGGGATGGTGGTGGCGCAGGCCAACCATCAAAGGAATGAAGAACAACCTCCTCGTGAGGGATGATGGCACAGCTCCCTGCTGCTTCTGTTTGCTTTTGTTTCAGCAGTGCCTTTTACTTCCCAAAGGAAAACAAACAAAAGACAATCTCCTCCTTGTGTGAGGCAGGGCAGAAAACACAGGCAGAGCAACCGTCCCAGCGGATCCTGCACAGGCCAGGCTGCCAGGGCCCGGCCCCAGGAGAGCAGATTACGCGGCAGCAAACAGCACTGGGTCTCTAGCCCGCAGCACAGGCTGCTCAGCGGAGGGTCAGGCGGGTGCTCGACGGGCCAGCAGTCATTTCTGCTCCTCGGTTACTGGTTGAAGGAGTGGTTAGAAGCTGTAGGAGGGTAGAGTCAAATTGCTTAATTAAAGGCATCTGGTTAAGGAACCAGTGGATCACAACTGTCACCTTTGCATCATAGCTCTGTGTAAATTGTACGTGTCCATTCAACTCTGTGAGAACTTTTGCATGAAGGTTCCTAGCACTCATTTTTGTTTACAGTCTCGATCTCTCCTCTACAGACATATAGCCTAGGGGTAGAGGACAGATCAGAAATCGGTTAGAGATTTTATGCTATTTTTCTCCCTTTTCTAGATCTAGGCACTTGGGTCTTAATGTCCTTCCTTATCAGAAGAAATCAAAATGTGAATAGCACTAACGAAAGCAGCCCTCCAAAGTCCTGATCACTGCACTAAATAAGTCACACACTTCCATGGCCTCATTTCCAGAAGTAACGGGTGTCGTTACCCTTGCTGAAGTCAACAGGGTCTTCCAGGTCTGTTCCCCGTGACCGATGAGGACCCTCGGTCACTAGCTAGTAGGGGTAGGGTCACGCCACTTCCAAATGCATGTGCCCACCTTTTCTGTTCTTGAAGAGGTGCTTGTGGGTTTGCTCCTGTGTGTTGACTGGGCTCACCTTTTTGTGTGGTGGTTTGAATCCTGGGAATGCCTGTCAGAAAGGTTAAAGACCAGTCATGTCCCTGTAAGTGTCTCCCAGCAGAAGTTAGCTACAGAGAGGTGAAGGTGTTCCTGCTTTCCTCTTCCTGGCCCTCTGAGCAGAATGAGGTCCATGTAGGAACACACCGGAATGCCCCAGGGGTAGCTGTGGTTGATTTGGGCTATATCAAGGAATCAGTTGAGCTCTTCAGCTGCTCTTGGTGCTTTTTCAGGCCAATGGAGTGCTGAGCTGGTGGAGGTAGGAGGCAGGTATTAAAAGTCCTGCTGAGCACCAACTCCTTTGTTTTACTTCTAAAATGTCATCCCTGGTACTAGCACAAACACTGAGCAGCAATTCTGATACTTGGCATCTCAGAGAGGGAGAATTGTATCTGCAGGTTGTGGGTACCAAAGCCAGTTGTGACTGGCTGTGTTTAGGAGCTTTATTACTCTCTGGCATGAATGCAGCTTTATTACTCTCTGCCACATTCAAGCCAGGGTGGTTGGTGTAGTTACTGCTCTGTCACCGTCTGAGTTCTGGAGTCAGCTGGTTTTTACAGTAGAAACGAGGACTCTTCAGGAAGCCTGTAGCAACAGCTTGTTAGATTGCTGTACGCAGCTGCAGCGGAGGTTAGAGCCTGGCTGATAGGGAAATACTGCAAGATTATGGGGATGGAAAGTAATGAGTAAGTTGGCTTATTGCTGCTAAATGTTTCTATTATCCACATTAATTTGAATTTATTATTTAAATAGAGGCTGCATTCTTGACCTTGACTTGAAATTATGTGTGCAGCATATAGCAAACCGCTCTGAATTTGCTCCGGGCTGCCTGCAGGTTAGCTCTGCTGCCCGTCCGGGCTCCTGCCCGCTGCACGCGGACTCAGCCCAGCCTTCAGCATCTGCAGGGCGAGGCCATTGCCACACGGCTCCACAATGAGTTAGCCAAGTTAGTGCTAGGGTGGTCCGCCCCAGTCTGCTGGAAAGGGCTTTGGAGTAAGCAGACAGCACGTCCCAGGAGCCGTGGGTGCTGTGCACAATGTGGATGTGTGGGGTGCCCACGGGGGGG